GGTGGGGAAGGAGTTAGATGATGCCCAGCTCTCACTGGCCACTTATGATATATTTCTTTCTTCAGATTGGAAATTGTGGCTACTTTGCTTTTGGTTTTACGAATCTGAAAACATTATGGCATTCTATCGCGTTAAATTTTAATAGCAGAATGAAAGAAATCCACCCAGACTCCTTTCAAGTGCTCTTCCTACCTCTCCCCTTCCCACAGAATGGTTAGAGCCCCCCCCCCCCCGATTTCAGTTTACTTAATTATAATAAATATAAGGCAATGGTTCTTATTTCTCCAATAACAGTTATTATCGAAGGTGACATGATGGTGGATAAGGGGTTTGTTGAGCATTATATGAGAAGAAGGAAAAAACGTGGTGCCATCCTAAACAGAAGAGTAGGTGCGAATTATTACTGGCCAGGAACAACCGTAGACGGAGATAGAATTGTGCGAATTCCTTACACACTAGACGTTGGATTCTTCGGTAGATTGTTTGGTAAGAAAGTTACGGCGTTAAAATGATTTTTTCCCCATTCTCTTTAACATATTTATTATTTGGTGTTGTTATTATTATTTTTGTAATTCTCATTGTTGTCAAATTAACAAATAGATTCCATGTTACGGTTCTTCTGTTCAGTAATATATCACAGATGACTTTAAACTGGCTCATATACCATGATGGCTAGGCCAATAAAAAGTCTTGAATTGCATTATCCAATGATCCAGTTCTTAATAATCAGTAAGAGACCACAGATGACTTTAAACATGGTAAGAGGATTAAGGTGAACCATCGGGCGCAGCTGGGCGTGACACTTATCTTCTTACCACATTTTGACATCCTCCGTGATCTATAAATGAACAGACCCGTGGCCACGGCAATATGGAATCCGTTTTAATGGCGACGTCATCTATGCGTCTATCCTTCAACAAATAGATCATTGATAAGAACCAATCAAAGTGTGCAGGTAATTAGGCTTACCCAATCAAATCGCATGGTTTCCACTTGTAGTTACTTGTGTTTTGAATGGTTCAGAACCTTGTAAAACCAAACGATAGATGTTGTTGATAATGATAATGATGATTTCGACAAGGAGGAGGAGAATATTTAGTAATATAACTATCAGCGGTCTCAATCAAGACAGGGGCTTCCTGCAAAGAAATATGTTGCATATTCCAAGAGGCTTTGAGAAGTACAGAACTACCCTCTGTTAATTGACAATGGGCTATTCTACTAGTTCAGATTGGTTACGTTGGCCTAAATACTTTAAGTCTCCAAAAAGTTCTCTCGCCACCATCTAAAAGAGTTTTAAAGTAGTTACCTAATAAATTTCCAAGTTAGGCAACGCTTAAGAATACGCCACGAGACAAATGATGTTATATGATGTTCTCTTTGTAGGCAATGATATGGTGAAAGGTTTCCTAGCGGCCGTCCAAGAATTTGCCAAGCGGACCTGCCTTCGATTCGAAGAGAAAGAGGACGAAGACAAAGATTACTTGGAAATTTTCAGTGGTCCAGGGTAAAGATTTGAAAGATTGTACTATTTTATTACTTCGGTTAAAATTTCCGTCCTTAGCATTATGGACTGACGAAGGGAGCCTTCTGTGAGGGCTTTTGTCATTTCCCATTTTTGGCAAACCCTTATCATAAGCACGCCCAGGTGTCTCTACCGCCCATTTTCGTTTCCTTTTCGAATTTATCCGAAGCAGTGTAAACGGTGAATATTATATCTGTTTTCCAGAGTGAGTAGAAAACTTACGTTACTTCATCCAGATTGAAAACATCTTTGATAAATATTATCTATCCAGCCCATTGCGGACGGATCTACAGTTGACTGACTGAAGAGAAGGTCAGCGAACGCACGCATGGATGGAAGTAATTACCCATGCATAAGTGCACTCAAGAACTAACATTAGATAGATAACATGGATGGAGACTAGACAACGAAAGAAGATAACTAGAACAAGCTAAAAATGATAAATCCAGTTCGCAGTGCTATGGTCTCGTTAACATGACGAGGATGAGGTAACGCTCGAAACCGTCAGCTTTTGCAACTCTTTACAGTGGTCAATTTTCATTATCAACTCAGTTGATAAACAAAATTATATTGTATTAGCCTCGACCGACGCAGCATCACAGCTTCTGTACAAAGTTGTCCCCTTTATTATCTGATGAACGTTGGGCCTCGCGGCTCTCGAAACACCTTGGCATGTCTTGCCTTGCTGATTATCCCCCCATTTGAATTGACAGATGCTTTTCTATGATTGGGCGGCGCGGTGGCAAACAAGAAATTTCACTTGGCAAAGGATGTGAGACGAAAGGGAAAGCTATCCACGAACTGATGCATGCGATTGGGTTTCTACATGAGCAGAGTCGAAAAGACAGAGATCAACACGTCACTATCTTAGCTGGAAATATTCTAGACGGTTTGTCAGCAATTAATTATACATGACACTTATCATGTGAAATAAGATATAGGTACCGTACGTGTACGGTTTAGAACAGATTTATCCGAGCTATTCCATCAGCCGACTGGTTCGGTCAGTAAGTCTGATTTGGTCCGCGGTCAGAGTCTGTCAGTCAGTAAGTAAGTTAAACAGTCGGTTTGTTAGTTACGGCCAGTCGATCAGATATTCAAACGATCAGTCGGTGAGTCAGGCAGGCAGTCGAGTAAGTGAATCATACTTGCCAATCCCTTCCGAACTAGCCAATTAGAGAGTGAGGAAAGCATTATTCACCTTTGTGGTATATACTTAATATCAATATCAGCTACTTTGAGCAAATCTCATTTTTTTTAACCTAGATTAGTGTTTTATAGTTTTATGTTCTGTTTACATTGTAACCTGATATTTAACAGTTGGAAAGTCCGAGTTTAAGACGTATAATCAGGACAACAGCAACCTACCGTACGATTTTCACTCTATTATGCATTATAATAACAAGATTTTTAGCAAGAATGGCGAGGATACCATCCGTGCTCTCATCGATCCCGAGATGACTCTGGGGCAAGAATATGGACTTTCAGCGTTGGACGTTGTAAGAGTAAACATGTTATACAAATGTCCTCAGCTTAGGAAGGATTGTAAGGAAATATATCTTAATTTATACTACACTTATGTAAATGTCTATAAGTTTGATAAGTACGTGAATTCTTCTGTGGGTCAATGAGTCACGCAAATCAATGAAAAAGTAATCGATGAACGAGAAAAAGAGTGAATGATTGAATGGATGGATGGATGGATGCAAAAAATTAAAAAATAAATCAATGAATGGAGTAGATAAATGAATTAGATTGATTGATTGACGATTGATTGAATGAATGAAGGAATGAATGAATGAAAATGAAGGAGTGGATGGATAAATGAACAGTTGGATGAATGGGTGAAAGAGTTTCAACATTGAGACATAAAAATTTAAAGAAACGGCGCTTAACCAGACATGAGCATCACTCGAATCAGTTTGTCTTTGTGTTTTCAAATCGTGCCCTTCGAGATAAACTTGAATGGTATGCTTTTCTTTAAAGTTGCACAACTAAAAGCATTTTTTATGATTTGTGCACTAGTGGTGCTCTACTTCGTCATTGTTTACACCTCTGGTGATTACTGGGCCGGGACAGACTCTAGAGTTGACATTCTACTTGATGGAGCGGAAGGGGACTCTGGAGAGATAGAACTGGAATCCCCTGAAGACGTTCCAAACCCATTTGAGCGGGGAAGGTAAAGTTACTGGTTCAGTTAAACAAACTTACTGCACAAGAGAATTCTATCAGCTACCAGTTACGCGGGTTATTCATTGAAATATTATTTCCGTAGGAAAAAAAAGAATTGTTATAAACAAAAATTACAGCTGGGTGTCATGGCGAAGCATGCACACTTAAAGCCGCCTAAGGCCGTTCCCTTTCCGTCCACTCGCCATAAGAGTAAGGCGTTTGAATATGAGGCTGAAAAGTCTGGCCCCCTTTTTTAAATCTAGTTCTTTTCGTTGCTTGCCTTTAACTTGACGATAGGAACTGGTGGCGGGTAATTTCATTTGATGGTTGTTACTTACAAAATATTTCCTTCTAGATGATGATTAAATATCCCTCAAGTCTGAATTCCTACTATTTTCAGTAAGGATACATTTCCCGTAATTGCTCCTGCTGTTGGAGAATTGAAAAAGATTCGTATCAGGTTAGCCGGAAGTAGCTGGAGTTGGTTCAATGGCTGGAAACTTGAGAGAGTAAGAATAATATTCCTTTCCGTAATTTATCCTGGGAGAAGCTTTCAGGTTTTTAAACGTAAACAGTAGTAAAGACACTAGATATAGATAGATCAACAACTACTAGAACATCACGTTAAAGGCGCACAGAACGCCGGAGTAAAGAAGCGTGGAGTACGGACGTTACTGTGCCTCTCTAAACCTCATCGACATTTTGCACTGAAAGAGTTCTTAAAGATTTAAGCCGTTGCCTGAAAAAACAAAAAACAAAAAAAAAAAAAAAACGCGTCCTAAACAATCCTCAATTCAGATCAACATTTAATCTGAGCATTTACTTTTGTGAATTGTGTGAAGAGGGCCAAAAGCCAACAGTGGATGGACCTTTACTCAATTAGGTCAGCCCTCATATAGAGAAGGCCTGAAGCCCATTGATTGGGTAAAACTGTGGTCAGGTTTGGGTTAGATTTGGCGTGAATAACCCTCCCCTCCCGTGAGGTCGGTTATTGAAACGAGGCCAGTATAATTTGGGTCACGGGTTTTGACGATCAATGGATATCGAAAGTTCTTCATAGGTGGGTTTTTGAAGTAATTAGATTTTTTTTTACTTTTAGTGTTAAATAGAAGCCCTTTTGACATTTCAGACGCAAAAACTTAATGTTTAGGCGTCTTTTTTTGCAGCTTGAATTAAGATTCCTTAGAGTGCAGTTTGGATGAATGAGGATTAACCTTTGTTTTGATAACATGATGAGTCGAAACATGACTGAAGTTCGTGCCGACATAGTATCAACATATTAACAGTACCATCGTACTTTGTATCTGCTCAAAACAAAATCGAGCAGAGGCGTGCAAAGGAGCCCCCAATCCCGTACCCAGGCTTCCCAAAGCTTTAGTCTCCTGCTCGAGCTTACCAGAGTCATACAAAAAGTAATAAATTTCCTTGGGAACACTTTGGCGACGTCTGAGGGCAAAATAGAACCCTTAATTGGTTGTCAAATAGAGGTGGGAAAGGTGGATAAACTGCCGAAGCGAATTTTGGTAAGCTGACGCGTCGTTGGTCCTTCGCTGTCGCGAAGTTGGCGCGACATCTAATTTTTTCTTGATGCGATGGCCTTTTAGAGTACTTGGTGTTTGCATGGACGACATATTTATTTCTTTTTCTCCGATAGGTAAAAATAGAAACACCAGACAACAAGAAAATTCATTTCAAATACAATGAATGGATTTATTCCGGCGATCATGTAACTTTGTCGCCTTCTACCAGGAGAAAAAGAAAGTGAAAACAGAAGAAAGCTTAAGCCTGTCGTATTTTCGGAGCAGTGCGAAGTGAGCGACTCTCTACTGTTCACTTTGTCCGATCCCGGACAATTGTCGGCCGAGTGATGACCGATTATGAATCGACTATTTATTTTCTTTCGGCCAACTACAGACGTTCACGTTGGTCACTTCCTTTAACACAAGCCTTTAAACAAGTGGGCCACTGCAACCTCGTTCCCAATATCCTCTCTTTTTCCCCCTAAAGTGAGAAGGGGAGAGGACCTGAGAACGAGGTTTGCGAAAGTGAAGATAGAGGTTTAGATTTATTAACGGGAGGCAAATGTTAACCGTTGTATTAGATAAGGAGAAAATCTCTTTGGAGGAGAAACATCTCCAGTCTAGGTCTAAGACAACTCACTGCGTAGTGTAAAAACTATTAATGGTGATCACATGTAAAACAGATTATATATACAACAATTTTTCTTTTGTAAATTCAGCTTTGAAACATTTTATTCTATTATTTTTCGTGTAAGCTATAGCTAAGCTATTACTACTGTCTTAGTATTAAGAACAGTGCCATTATAGTTACGAGCAATTACGACTTAATTTTTAATTTTTTTTTATTTGTACGTAGAGTTCATGAGATGAGACGTCTTTTATCTATTTTGCAGAATGCATTTAGATTTACTTCCCAGTGTGTACAAAGCTGAAATTTGTGTACTACCCCAACCAATTATTGCTCGTTCGCTTTTTTCCCATCTCCACTGATCATGACCAAGACTGTGATGCATGCGAAAAGTAAAAATATTAGGTTACTGGAAGAACAAAAGAATCAACAGTCCATGTGGTTTTGATCTTCTCTAACCTCTCAAAACAAAATTCAGGCACAGGAAATGTCAATTGTTTATTAACAGAGTTTATTTTTTTAAGACTGGCGAGGTGTTCTATGAGGAGTTCTACCTCCCCTCTCCTCCCTTCCCCACAGATTCCGGCCCTCTTTGTTTTTTTTGTTTGTTTTTTTTGTTTTTTTTTTGTTTTTCTCCTGCTTGCCTCGCTTTTTGCGCTTCATCACAAGCTGATTACTCGCAACAGAAAATCCTACCGTGGGCCCGTTAGTCCTATGGGTCACCGTGGGATGCCCGCCGCAAACAGATGTTTTTTACTTCTGTTAACAAGGAGAGAAACCTAATATTTTAAATATTTTGTAATTTTGGAGTTTTACAGAGAGGACTTAACTGTAAATGATTCGATTCCAATACAAATGAATTTTCAGTTGTCTGAAATAGAAAATCTTTGTGGTGTTATGTTTTGCAGATTATTTTTTTCTCTATGATCCAGGATCGAGTGCTATTTTCAAGCTCCACCAACATTAAAATCCCTGAAATCCTGGTTTCCAAACCTTCATTTTGCGCCTCCGTCTCACTTCTTCTTCTTAGCGGCGGTAGACTGATTGAGTGACACAGAGGAGGACCATTAGATTTCAATTTCGTTCCGTTTTCTTGAGCGACTCTTTTTAGACTTTCTTTTCCTGGAGAGCGAGAGAGAGAGAGATAGTTTTATCGGAGAGCGACAGAGCTGAATAATGAAATGGGTATGCGGTCAACAACGCGGGCTCAAGTGTCCTAGGTCTAAAATTTAATGAAATTAGCGGAAAATAGTAAGGGCTGACTTTTAAAACCGAGGAACTCTGTTTTCGTCGAAGGCATTTTCCTATTTCCAGAGGTTTTAAGGAGAAAATTAATTTTTGAAAATTTTTAAGGGGTGTACCAAGTTTTTGGAGGTTGTTCTGTAAAAGAAAAGCGGCATGGAAAACAACGCCTCGAAGTAACAGAATAGGAAATCAACCATGCGAACGACTCAAAATCTGTGTTTCCGCGGCAAAACCTAGCGCATGCGTACACGTTATTCAGCTCTGTCTCTCAGAGAGCGATCAAACTACGTTTGAGCATACAGTTATTGAGATCAGCTGACTCTCTTTTATTGCGCATGCTAAGTTTTGCCGGGTCGCGGGAAGACGAAAATTGCACATGTAACCGGAGTGAAGGAGGGAAATATTCAGCAGATCGCTGGAAGAAAAGTACTTCAAGATGGATATACCTCATTTGACCAACATCTTGTCGAGTACTTTTGACCCAAACTTAAGAGAAGAAGCAGAAAAAACGTTGAATGAGGTAAAGTTTCATTAACTGCAATTTTTTTCTTGAGCTGACCCATCGATTTCGACAACACGCACATTGTCGGATATTTGCAACCGATCTAACCATCAGTTCTTTGTTGTTAGTCTACATTTTCGGAACTAAACTTATATTTAAGCAAACCCTTAATTTTAAAATTTCAAACTAGGGTAAAAGTTTGGAATTTAGAAGTTTAATTCAATGCAAAAAAAACTTTAAAATGAATTTTATTCGACTTATTTTTATTTTGGTCATGACTTTATCACGCTTTTAAGATTAAAGTTCGATAAGTTATAATTACATTTTTTGGTTTCCTTCCTCGTAGATTCACAAGCATCCAGGGTTCCTCTCGCTTCTTCTCCAAGTCGTTATGTCCAACGATGTACAAATTCCTGTGAGACAATCAGGTGCGAAACCAGTTACGTACCTTGTTAATTTTAGCATATTTGTCGCATTGCATAAGTCACAAAATTAACTTTGGCTTTGAACTGTCTGTTTCATGAAAGGTTGATCACTAAATATCGAAAAAGAAATCATTTCTCAATAAATCACCACAGTAACTTTTATATGTGTGGGTCGAAATTTAGTGGGATTGGTGATGTTCACTTTATCGTACATAATTCAAGAGAATGCAAACTATTCAAATTAAAAACTTTGATTTAAATATCACCTCTACACGACACAGGAAAACTCGTATGAATTCTTTTGAGCCTGGAAAAAAGGGTCTGGGACTTTAAGCGATCTCTTACCTCCCCAGAGAACACGGCAGTTGAGAACTAGGTCGCATAATTATATTTTACCTAAAGTTCAGACAAGCCGTTTTAAATCAGTTTTTATTAATAGATGTCTTTTCAATAGTAATTAATACCTTTAAGAAAAGGTTCTGATTGGGCTCAGGGTAGTAACAAAGCATGTTTTTGTAAGATCAGCTAAACATTATGCAGTTACCCTGTAACTCCTATGAGTGACAAAGATGGAATTTCTCCTCACAATATCAATTTAATATCAAGCAGACAAGTAATAGGAATAAGGATAAAAAGACAATCAGGGGATTGTCATTTGATTCAATACCAAATTCTCCACACTAACATCATAAGAATTGTATACAGGGTTCGTGCTACTCCTTAAACTCCTTGAAAACTACTTGAATATATTTTGCAAATTCAAGGGTGCTTGAAAAGACCTAAGAAATAAGAAATTAAAAAAAAAAATCCTTAAAAACTCCTCGAATTTTTTACTTAAATACGCATTGAATGTGAAAAAATATATTGGAAACAATAAAAGAGAAAAAATATAGAAAGTTATCTGGTTCAAGAGTGCCTTGGGAAAACAATGTGCCACCATTGTTGCAAACAAATGCTTTTTTCATAGCAAAAATGACTCCTTGAAAGTCATATAAGTCCTTAAATACTCCTTAAAAAGTCCTTAAATTTAACTCTGAATTTCCTGCACGAACCCTGTGTATAGGAGAATTGAGAGAACCCAGTAAGGAGAATTGGAAATGAGATCTTGGGAGCAAAAGGGTTTAACTGTTACCATTGATTGCCTTTAAAGGTGTAATTTACCTCAAGAATATGATTGTCCAGTACTGGAAAGACAGAGATCCCTCAGAACTGGCTGATGGTAGTGCTGCGTTTGTTATTGTTGAGCAGGACAAGGTTACCATCAGAGAAAATATTGTGGAAGCAGTGATTCATGCTCCTGAATTGATAAGGTAAGAATTCTTTACAGTTAAAGGCATCTCTGTGTAGAACTTTAGACAGGGCCTAAGTGTGATCCTGTTCAAGGTCTCTAATTATGGTAACCATGGAGAAGATTATGTAATAATGAAATATCAAATATGAAAATGAAAAAACATTCAACATTGATAACATGGGTTGTCTTTTCAACAAAAAAATCGCATGATTTCTCAATTTTACTACCAAGATAATCAAGCAAACCAAGGCAATTTTTTATGGATGGAAGCCACCAAGCAGGAAGAGTACTCATAAGCAAATGTCAATCTCACTTTACTCATGACAAAAAGTACTATATACATACAATAACAATGTTACCTGAGCAACAGACTTTACTTTTTATTAGTTTAGTAGCCTAATGGCCCTTCTGGGATGTTTGGAGAAGTTTGTAAATCACAAGCTTAAGTCTAGTGATTTACAAACTTTTCAGGTGTGCTCTCTACATTCCAAGTGAGTTATTGCACTGGTAAACCAATAGAAAGGGTGATATACTGCTTTTATAAAAGAATTTAAATGTTTAAGTTTTCTATTGGTCCACTGGTGCAATAAAAAAAATAGGCTTTTTACCAGTCTAAGCACGTGTAGTATTGCACTCATTTCATAAAACCTGATCAATAAATAATGGCTGAACACAGATCACCAATTATGCTCCAAATATAGTAATCAAAAAAATTTTTTCTACTCAATGTGATGACCAAATTGTCTCAGTTTGGTGTTGTGAAATGCTTGTTTAAAAAGTCTCTAAATTATGTGTTCCTGCGAAGGGTTATAAATATTCTTACCAATGTCCACTACTGCCAGTAACTTGTAAGTTGTAATGTGATGTGTAAAGACCTACAGTGTTTAAAACCTGCAGTGTCACTTACATTGCAGAATCCAGCTCACTGTGTGTGTAAGTCAAATTTTACGTCATGACTTTCCTGAAAAGTGGCCTGGAGTGATAAACAAAGTGAATGGATTCCTGGCAGAGAATAGCCAAGGGACATGGATGGGTGCTCTTCTTACACTTTATCAGATTGTCAAGAAGTACGAGTAAGTACAAGGATGCAAACTTTCTCTAATCATTTAACTCCCAGAAGTGATTAACATGGAACCTTTCTCCATAATATCAGTACATTATGTAGCAAACAGGTGATGAGAATCCTTGATCCAACACCAGATTCTCATAACTAATCAACAAGAAATTGTGTAGCAGCTAGAGGGGAGAATTAACAATCAGATCCAGGGATTTAAAAGGTTAATTTTTACTCCTTCACTGCCTTTACTGTGAGGTGAGGAGACCTCAAGAAACCACCAGGCTATGGGAAAGGCCACCTCTTTCACAACAATATGTTTAAAAAAATTAATGCTGCTTTGCCAATTCAGTGATAATTTAAGTTAAAAAAATCTTGCATTTTTGTCTTTAAAGTGATAAAAAATGTTCTTACCATAAATGATCACCCTGCCTGTCACTGCATGTTGTCTTCTATTCAATTTTCTGTAGGTTCAAGAAGCCAGAGGAACGGAAATTTCTCCACAACGTCATGCAAATTCTTTTGCCACAACTGTATGCAAGATTCACCTCTCTGATAGAAGACTCATCAGAGTTGTCAGTGGAAATTCAAAAACAGATTCTCAAAATATTTTTTTCACTTATTCAGGTTAGTTCCATCAACCTGATGGTAGAGAAAATAGTAGTTTTCCACGGAGAGTTGTTGGGAGATTGTGACATGCATTTTTAGCAATGAACTTGAATAAGATGGTATGTAACAGTTAATCAGTCTGAAACCCTCAAAGATATGCTTTACACCAAGGTCTCCAAATACGTGTAGGTCCCCTTTCTTGAGAGGACACATGTCTGACTGTACCTCCATTTTGGTTAAACAAAGGAGAAATGTGGTCCAATGTTTTCTTTCAGCATATGATGAAACAAGTGTGGCTGTGAACTTTTCCTTTATGTATCAAAACAAAAAACAGTACTTATGCTTCAGCAAAATGCATGGTCTTGAATTTGAGATTTGATCTTGAAACTTTTCTTCCCCAAGCTTTCTGCTTTCCTTATAAGTGATGTGACAGTGTCCTTTCCAGCCACAGAAATTAATGCAACACACATTCATGAAATAAGTAAGGATCTTTCATTCATTAAATTATTTTTTCTTGCTAGTATGTCCTTCCCCTTGAACTAATTACAACAGATTTTGGGAATTGGATGCAAGTTTTCCAAACTGTGGTGAACAGAGATGTACCTCCGGTAAGAATCTTTTTACACTGGATCTCATTGCTCTTACTTGTGTATATGTCAGGGCTCGACACTAACTTTTCAACTTACTAGCCAAGTGACAACTTAGATGTTACAACAATTTCAGTTTGTTTACTAGCCTAACTGGCAAGTGGAAATAGAAAACCACTGGCCAAAACTGAATTTCTACTAGTCTGTGGCTAGTTGGCTAAAAACACAAAACATGTAGCAAATCCTTAATGCGTGCTCTCTTACCTGTATTTGTGTGCTTTTTACTTTTTTTTGCATTTAGGTTGCTTTGGAAGGTGACGAAGAAGAGTTAGCCCGACTACCCTGGTGGAAAGCTAAGAAATGGGCTCTGCACGTATTGTGCCGGTTGTTTGAGAGGTAAACCTGGTGTTAAATACAGTATTAAACCCACCTGCATATTTGTACATGTACTAAAGCTCATCATTTACATAGTTTTGAACCGCAAAGTAGAAAGCATTATAAAAAATTATTTTAAGTTGTGGTACCCAATTTAATTTTTTTTTTTTTTTTTGGTTTTCCCATTTTACCCTTATATCAACATTTTGGGTCAAGGTCAAATTTTGATTTAAGCAAAGTGTTATTTTAAAACGGAGTTTGAAGGGGAATAACGTTCTTTTTTGCCAATGTATTGTATGGGGTGGCCAACAAATATGAAGCTAGCTGCCATCCGTATGCCATGAAATGATTAGTCCTTTTCGGTTTTCAGATATGGTACTCCAGGATCAATAACAAAAGAATATGAGGAGTTTTCTGAGTACTACTGTAAAAATTTTGCAGGTAAGTATGTGAAGAGACTTACTATAGTTTGCTCTTCAGTAAAAACATTGAAAGGTTAGTTAATGAAGATTTTATTATTGGGCTTACTTTCTGTGTATAGTTCTTTTTCATCCAGGTTTCCCAGCATTTTTTAATTCTTTAAACCCTTCCAGTACCTACAAATTTGCTTCCTCCATAAACTTGTCAAAGACCTTTCCTAGGGGCAGTTAATGCTGTGCTTTAGATTGGTCAACTTTAGGCTGAGTTTCAACACGATGCATTTATTTAACCAAGAGCTTGTCTTTTTCTGCAGGAAGTGTGACACAGATTCTTCTTAAAGTACTGGATCAGTACAGAAGAAAAGTGTTTGTGGCTCCAAGAGTACTTCAGCAAACCATAAACTACTTGAAAAATGGGTGAGTGCATTTTAAATTATTGTAACATTGTGTGGATTACATTGAGGCTGGTCTCAGCTTAGTGAATTCGGTTTGTTTGGTAGTGATGAGTTGTGGTATTCACCTGCTGTACATAATGGCACTTAAAGCATTTTTGGAAGTGCTATAACTAATTTTGGTCTCAAAATGTACTTGTTTATTTTCCAGGGTTTCAAATGCACTCCACTGGAAAATAATGAGGCCTCATATCCAGGTAAAAAAGAAATCATATTGACAAAAAAGATTTGCAACATTCAAACAAAGGTAACAAGCAGGTATCACCAAGGCGGCTATAAAATATTATAATGTAAATACATACTAGTTACAGACTTCAAGTTGCGTAACTGGTATAAACAGTAATGATTGGCAATCTGTGGATTGCACAGACTTTTGATAGATAAGTATTATGCGAAGAGCTTGGAATGATGGTAGATTCCCTAAAGGGAATGCCATTCTATTGTCGGTTACAAGTCAAAAATATTATAATGTTATATTTATAGGCAATAATCCAAGAAGTTGTATTTCCCTTGATGTGTTACACCAATGAAGATGATGAACTCTGGCAAGAAGATCCATATGAGTTTATTAGAGTTAAATATGGTGAGAAGGGGACTAATGTACCAATGTCCTAACTTGAAAACTGCTAAACAGGCTTATGCATGTTAACATTAAGGAATTTCTAAGGAAATATGTTTAATCTGCTTTGCTGAATCTAGCTGAAAACTGGTTTGTGGAAAACAAATTTCGTAATCCAGTGTTTTTAACAGAAAGGGTTGTGCAAAATGGTAATGGATTTATTGTTAAAACTGACAGTTTGGAAGCATCTTGCACAATTCAGTCATTGATGTCTAGTAAAAGCATGTACATGTCTGAAAACTCAGTGAAAAGTTAAGTGTGAAATTCACGAATTTGTTCAATACAACTTTGAAATTACATTCTGTCTGAAGTAGTCCACTATACTTCTAATTTAAAAAGAACTTTAACTTTGGCTCTCATTGACAGATATCTTTGAAGATTTTGTCTCGCCTGTCACTGCGGCAGCCACCCTTCTTCACACAGCTGTTTCAAAAAGAAAGCAAGTTCTTGACCCCACCATGGTATTCTGTGTACATGTCCTTAACCTCCCTGCAGAACAGAGGGACCCTAGACAGAAGGATGGAGCTCTTCATATGATTGGCACATTAGCTGATGTGTTATTAAAGGTTTCTTGCCTTTCACTTTAAGTTTAGAATTGTCTTTTTACTGCACTACTGTCTTTCTGTCAGTGAGTGCATGACTAGTGTTGTTGTGAGTACTGGTATGGGTGGGTGCTGTGATGAAGCAAAACTGTGTCAAGGAATTCAGAGATCAGGGGCTCAGGAATGAATTATTAGTGCTTGTTCCTAATAACAGAGCAATCAACTCCAATTTAGTATGAAAGGTAATCTAGGATTACTGTGGTTTTGCTTTATTAAGTGTTCAATTAGCGTGGAAAACTTGAAGCACACTATCAATCAATCAATCAGAGTCTAGCTCTCTCTCATTTTTTTACTTTTCAAACTCCTTGGCTCCTCATTATATGCTCCTATATGTGATTGGTGGTCAAGATTACTCTGGATTTTGTGTTACAGCACCTGGTCAGAATGCAATAAAAAAGTTAAACACAAGCAAGTGCATTTCCTACCCCAAATTTTTGAGTGATCCCTTAGAAAACCATAGTGAAAACTGATGTATGGTTGATGTGAGCTGGTCTGGAAAAAGTTGCGCCACTCTGAACTGGTGCAGCTCATTTTCTTTTTTTGTGAGCATGGATTGAAATTGTGAACTACAACATAAAATATAACAAATGAGAAAATGATTTGGACTTCTCTATGCATTCTGAGTTTCTTTTTCTGACCTAAAAAAGTAAACAAAAGTTTGTAATTGAAGAATTTTTCAGTAGTTGTACATCTTTTTTAGATCATGTTTTTTTCAAGTGTTTTTTTTTTTTAATTTCATTTTGTTATGTCCTCTTCTTACAGAGAAAAATGTACAAAGTAGAGCTGGAAAATATGCTAGTGCAGCATGTATATCCTGAGTTTAAAAATTCATTAGGATACCTCAGAGCCAGGGTACGAACAGTTTAT